AACCCTGAACTGGTAGCTTTTGTTATTAGCTTTTAACAGCGTTTACCTTCTCTCATCATGAATGGATACATTTAGATTTTTTTGGGTCGAACCCAGATTTCGAGAGATAGAGGCCTAAATGATCATCCCTAGTCCAATCCATCCAAGCATGAGCCCAATCTAAGAGTTTCATATGTCATATCCCTCTCTCTCTTAAAAACGGTGTTAACAAATGTAATAAATAATTAACTAAATGTTTTGTTATCTAGGCGCTATGTAAGGACAACATATATCCAGGACTGGGTATGTTTGCAAAGGGTTATGGGAAGAACAACGAGCCTCTCCGTGGTTACGTCCTGACCTTCTTCATCGGCCTGGCCTTCATCCTCATTGGTAAGCTGCTATCTGTTGCTGTTGCAGCTAAAGATTAAAACTAGAATGAACAGTTCATATTCATTCAAAGCTTTCTGTTGTTGCCTGTTAGCGGAGTTGAACATCATCGCTCCCATCATCTCGAACTTCTTCCTGGCGTCGTATGCTCTCATTAACTTCTCTGTCTTCCACGCCTCCCTGGCCAACTCTCCAGGTAAACCCAAAGTTGAATTGATTCAGTCTCGATGACATAAGAGTTGACTTGAAAAGGTCTCTAACTTTTTGAATACATTCTAGATCAAAGAGTCTTCTTACACCTTTGTTACACTTTTCTTTTGGCTAATTTGAATACACTCTTATACTTAAGCTGCTTTCACATGATGCGCGACTTGCTCTTTGCTCACCATTGGGTGTAGAGCCTTGCATTGAAAGTTAAGTTGATGACAGGTTCAAGTACTCGGAAGAAAAGAAAATACTCTGTTAAGCCTCAATTTTCGATTTAAGTAGGTATTTCTGATCTTACTCTGTCCCCTAAGGTGACAATGGTTTAGAGCTCTCATTGTCGTTGTTACTGAAAGTTAACTTAATGCCTGTTTTTACCATGCCTTCAGAGGATAACAAAACTTTTGTTGGTCTTGAACTTTTGGACAACATTCCCAACAATATGTTTAGTTTAATGTCGTATTGTAAAACTATATTGGTAACAAGTATATTTCTAGGGCTGCACTTGACCAGTAACATTGTTAGGATAAGGGTTCAAACATGGATTGTCTGCAAAACATGTCTGGCTATATCAATATGGTGAAGAAGTCTGCTCTAAAACGTTCTTTGTTTCAGTTCAGATTTTTCCTTGTATGATGATCTGTTTATATTTGCCTATTTTAGCATGGCTCTTTTGGTTTAATTCCCGTCTGTTAACACAGGGTGGCGCCCAAGTTTCAAGTACTACAACATGTGGGTGTCTCTGGCCGGGGCGGTGCTGTGCGTGGTGGTCATGTTTGTCATCAACTGGTGGGCGGCTCTGGTCACTCTGCTCATCGTCCTCGCTCTATACATCTATGTCAGCTACCACAAACCTGGTGAGGACAGGATGATCTCACATTTTCTTTGCTTATTACTAAGAGTAAATCTGATCAATACCAACCACTTGATGCTGCTTCCATCAATGTGTTGCGCAATGAGGCTAGTAACTGCCAACCTATACTGTGATCTGTCCAACTCTACTTCCTTTTTTATTCCACTTCATACACACTTAACATCATGTGTGCGTGTGTGTGTGTGTGTGTGTGTGTGTGTGTGTGTGTGTGTGTGTGTGTGTGTGTGTGTGTGTGTGTGTGTGTGTGTGTGTGTGTGTGTGTGTGTGTGTGTGTGTGTGTGTGTGTGTGTGTGTGTGTGTGTGGGTGTGTGTGTGTGTGTGTGTGTGTGTGTGTGTGTGTGTGTGTGTGTCCTGTAGATGTGAACTGGGGTTCGTCCACCCAGGCTCTGATCTACAACCAAGCTCTGACTCACTGTATGAACCTCACTGGAGTCGAAGACCACATTAAAAACTTCAGGTTAGCTCAATGTTCCAGATTTGGGTTTTGTTTCTGGTTTCAGAATCAGTTACAGCTTTATACCAACTCAGAAAACTTTTTCTAATATATGTTTAAAATCAAGTAGTGTGCAATTCAAGGGGCAATGTCATTGAAAATATTAGTTTTCTTGTAAACCTGCACTCCACCCTCTTAAAAAACAGTGAGAGTGCTTTGGAAGAGAGGTTGTTGAATTGAATATATTTGTCTAGTCTGCCTGACTCATCCATCGTTTATCTGATGGAGGTTTGTGCCAGTTAAATCCATGATGATGTCTGTTGTGCTGAAGTAGCATACAGATTTTAAGTGGCTCAGGAGATAGACCTGGCCCTCCCTTGGACATAATGCACTTGTCAAAATACTTTACCCCAAATTGCTCCCAATGGCACGGAACATATGTTAATGTCAACGGGTGAATGCTGACTTGCAACATCACGGCTCACAAAAGCTTCACAGACAAAAGCTTCAGTTTGAAGAAACAGTCTTTACTTTGCAAAAAGTCCGTACACTGCGGATCATTCGGACAGGGAGCCACAACAGATGAGGAGTAGATGAAAGCAGGGCCAGGAAACGTAGCAAGATCAGGTACACAAAAGATACTAAACACTAGGGGGAACACTACTGGACTGGAATGGGGACACAGACTAACTACATAGGGAGAGGGATGATGGGGAACAGTTGAGCCTTATTTGGATGATTTCTCAGACGGGGAACAATCAAGCTCAATCAAACTGAAACGAGAGGAGAGGTGAGTAACAAAATAAGACAGGAATTACAAAATGACAACATAAAGTCAACTTGCCGAGAAGGAACCTCACAGGAAAAGCGCTACACAATTGCAGTCCACTGACAATTGTAATTGTTTAGTTTCCAAAAGTGAATGAATAAACCTAAAAACTTAAACGTTTTTTTTGCCAGATTGTGGAAACAGTCTTTTTTTTTTTTGTTGCAGAATTTGATTTAAAAAGACCAACCTGTGATTTCCATCAAAACTGAAAGTGCTTTTAAAACTTTTTTTTTGCGATGTTTAAGTTCATCTTTAAATGTTTGAATTCCCCGTTCCCAGGCCGCAGTGTCTGGTGATGACTGGGTATCCAAACTCCCGTCCTGCTCTCATTCAGCTGGTGAATTCTTTCACAAAGAACGTGGGCCTCATGGTCTGCGCTCACGTCAGGACAGTATGTACACATTCAGTTCAATCTGTTACCTTCACTACCTTCTTAACATCACTGAAACACTTTCTGCATGATTCTCCTCTGTCTTTTTCCTGTCATTACCCGTTCAGGTGACCCGTCGGCCAAACTTGAAGGAGTTATCTCAGGAACATGTCCGATGTCAGCGCTGGCTCAATAAAAAACGTATCAAGGCTTTTTACACTCATGTGTTTGCTGACAACCTGAGACACGGGGCGCAATTCCTTATGCAGGTAATGAAACCTGGATCAAAATGTTATTCTTAGGTTAAGCGAGTATCTCAATCATTATTAAAAAGGTCTTAATATGTAAGTGGTAGCCTTAGTATAGGTCACATTCACACCTTAATAGTCCGTTTCTATACGCACCAGATGACAGTTTGTTACATTGTTTCATTTTTCAGAAGGTTCGGTTTGCGTTCACACAAAACTCAAACGAACTATAAACTTTAAACACAAGTCATGTGCACGGAAATGCTGTTCAACAATTGGTCAGACATTAAGGGGGTAAAAACGCAAATCCCGGCAATTTCTACCATCGCCCCCACCATGGAGCATCGGCAGGTTATTTTCATAATAATACATTTAATTTCCAAGTGCTTTTTCAGGTGCTCAAAGACGCTTTACAGTGGTGATAAAACGAGATATAATAGAATTAAAAAAATATATTAAAACAGCAACACATATAAATGAATAACAAAATATTAAAACAGCAACACAACATAATTCACAAATTAAAAGCCAGTTTGAAGAGGTGTGTTTTGGTCAGTGTTTTGAAGGTGGGGGGTCGGTGCAGTCTCTGATGTGTTGTGGAAGGTGGGGGCAGCAATGGAGAAGGCTCTGTCCCCCCAGGTTCGGTGCTTGGTTCGTGTGGGGATAGAAAGGAGGTTGGCTTCTGATGAGCGAAGGCTGCGGGAATGGGTGTGGTGGTGGATCAGGTCGGTGAGGTAGGGTTGTTGAGAACTTTGTGTGTTAGCAGAAGGATTTTGAAGTTTATTCGTTGACGGACAGGGAGCCAGTGCAGGTTTTGAAGGACGGGGGTGATGTGGTCTCTGGAGCTGGTGTGGGTGAGGAGGAGGCGGGCAATGCAGTTCTGGATATATTGCAGTTTATTTAGAATGTTGGATGATGAGCCATACAGGATGCTGTTACAGTAATCCAGTCTTGAAGTGATAAATGCGTGGATGAGGGTTTCAGCAGCCGGGAAGGAGAGTGAGGTGCGGAGGCGGGCAATGTTTTTTAGATGGAAGAAGGCGGTCCTGGTGATATGGTTTATGTGTTTATTGAATTTGAGCTGGCTGTCAAAAATTACTCCAAGGTTGCGAATGTGAGGAGAGGGGGTTAGAGTGGTGTTGTCAAGGGTGAGGTTGAAGTTCTGGGTGGTGTTGGTGCGGGATTTCGGTCCGATTATGATAATATCTGATTTGTCGCTGTTCAGTTGAAGGTAGTTTGTTTGCATCCAGAATTACATTTCTGAGAGACAGTTGGTGAGTGTGGAGTGAATTGTGGCAGTGATGGTTTTTGCGGAGATGTAGAGTTGGATTACATCCGCGTAGCAGTGATACTGAAGGTTATGGCGGCGGATGATTTTTCCAAGGGGGAGCATATAGAGGATGAAGAGGAGGGGACCAAGCACCGAACCCTGGGGGACGCCTTGGGACAGAGGAGCAGTGAAGGAAGTGCAGTTAATGATATGGATGAACTGGTGTCTGTTGGTGAGGTAGCCAGGAGAGTGCAGTGTCGGTGATGTTAAGTGATGATTCCAGGCGGGACAGCAGGATTGTGTGGTTGATGGTGTTGAACGCTGCTGTGAGGTCGAGTAGGATGAAGATGTTGAGGTTGCCGGAGTCTGAGGAGAGGAGGAGGTCGTTAGTGATTCTGAGGAGGGCTGTTTCTGTGCGGAATCCTGATTGAAAGGGTTCAAACAGGTTATTGGAGCTGAGGTGGGACTTTAGTTGGGAGGCTACAACATGTTCGAGTAGTTTTGACAGAAAGGGGAGATTCGAGATGGGCCGGAAGTTGGACATGATGTCAGGTGTGAGTCCAGGTCTTTTCAGTATGGGTGTAACAGCAGCCAGTTTGAGTGAGGGGGGGACTGATCCAGAGCAGAGGGAGGAGTTAATGATTGTGGTTATGAGTTGGGAGATGGCAGGGAGGCATTCCCTGACAAATGTTGTTGGTATGGGGTCCAGAGTGCAGGTGGAGTTCATTCCAGCCATGAGGGTGGACAGTTGCATTGGGGTCACAGGGGAGAACCGGGATAGGGGCTGTGAGGTGAAGGGGGGGAGCCAGGAGGGGAGATGGGGAGGGCTGCTGAGGAGGTCAGGTTTCTATAAATGCTGTCAATTTTGGATTGAAAGAATGAGAGGAAATCAATCAATCAATCAATCAATGTTTATTTATATAGCCCAATATCACAAATGTTACATTTGTCTCAGTGGACTTTACAGTTTGTACAAAATATCAGTATGACAATACGACACCCTCTGTCCTTAGACCCTCACATCGCACAAGGAAAAACTTCCGAAGAAAACCCACAGTTTAAAGGGAAAAATGGGAGAAACCTCAGGGAGAGCAACAGAGGAGGGATCCCTCTCCCAGGACGGACAGACGTGCAATAGATGCCGTGTGTAAATTGAAAAGATAATACATTTGCAACATAGGTAGTCCAAATGTTTGGAAATGCATGTGTGTATAATAGGAAGATGAATCCACGAGGATATCCATCCAGGACCTATGATCCAGGACCACAGCCACGACTCAAGATCCAGGGCTCGCGATCCAGGACAGAGGAGCGCAGGATCATCCATGACTCCGGATCCCGGCGTATATAGACACCAAAAGAAAGACATTTGGGGAAGCTGGGTTAATCGGAACATGAGAGTACACAGGTATAGACAGAGAGAAGGAAGAAGTAAGATGTCCCCCGACAAACTAAGCCTATATCAGCAAAACTATTGCACTGTTGCAAGAATTGCACTGTGCGGTTGTGAAGGATGGGGTGGTGTTGTCACAGGGTTTAAAGAGTGTGCTGATGGTGGAGAAGAGAGCCTTGGGGTTGCTGGAGCCGGAGTGTATCAGTCGTGAGTAGTAGTTGGACTGGGCTGCTTTGAGCGCATTATAGTACTGTTGTAGGTAGTCGGTGTAGGCATGGAGATTAACTGTAAGCATGGTTTTCTTGTGAAGACGTTCCAGTTGGCGTTTTTATGATTTCATTTGGCGGAGTTCGGGGGTGTACCAGGGAGCTGAATGTGTGAAATATTCATGCTGCTGTTAATCTGGAGAGCATATCAACAGACTCTAGTGGACGGCACATATGATTATTTAATCAGACAACGTGTGTTAAAAAACATTTTAACACATAATGAGAGACGTTCTGCAGTCAGGAGGAGATTATATCTCACACAGGCTCTGCCCTCTACTGGACTCTATGGGTACCACCTCTCAACCATACCATGCAAGCATTCACCTGCTGAGACTTCTATAAATGTAGCCGGCCCCCGGGGCGGGCCTACCTGAATGCGCACGCAATCACACCGTATAAAAGGCGGCCTCGCCTCCTGACCGTCATCCTTTTCTCTTCAGCGAGCAGGATAACAATTGAGAACGTAAACGAGAGAAAAGAAGGAAAGAAAGTAATATCGAAGATGGACTCACCACTGCATATGCGCCGCCTGCAGAGATGGTTTACCGGCCTTCGTGTATATCCCAAGAGGCACAAACAACGTCTGGTGACCATCCGCCCTCAGTGGGGGGCAACCTCCGATACTGGGGGTCCCCGGAGCATCTCCGGAGGGGAACTCCACTGGCGCGAGTGACCTCCTACGTCACGGTGTTCACAGACGTATCCGTGACAGGATGGGGGGGGACCTGCCTGGAAAGAGCTATAGGTGGTGGCTGGTCTCTGACAGAGATGCGGCACAGCAACTTTCTAGAGCTACGGGCAGTAGTGTTGGTCCTCCAGCATTTCAAACCCTTTATACAGGGCAAACATGTGCTGGTTGGGAGCGACAACAGCACCACAGTGGCATACATCAACAGGCAGGGCGGAGTCCGCTCCGCCGCCTTGTTGACCACAGCGGAGAAACTGTGGTTATGGGCTCCAGAGATTGTTTTGTCTCTGAGAGCCCTCCACGTCCTGGGACTGGAGAACAGGTGGGCCGACCTCATGTCAAGAGCCCGGGCCCCTGCCAGGCGAGTGGGTGCTTCACCCGGAAGTGGTGAAGCAGATCTGGGCCCAGTTCGGGAGAACGGAGGTAGACCTGTTCGCCAATAGGCGCAACAGCCAATGTGCCCTGTGGTTTTCCATGGCTCGGCGGGACAGTACGCCCTTGGGGGTGGACGCGTTTGCACACGCCCATGGCCAAAAAAGCTGCTCTACGCCTTTCCACTGCTGCGCCACATTCTTCCCCTCCTGGAGAGAGTGAGACGAGAGCATCTGTCAGTCATCCTAGTGGCCCCAGATCGCCGCGGAGCCCCGTGGTTCACAGAGTTGACGCAGATGATGGTGGGCCAGCCCTGGGCGATTCCTCAGTTCTGGGGGGCGATGTCTCAGGTCGCAGGTGCAATACGGGCATTACCCACTCTGGGCCAACCTCTCCAGGCTTGGCTCCTGAGAGGGACAGGCTGAGACGAGGGGGATTGTCTGTCAAGGTTATCCAGACTATCCAGGCAGCAAGAGCGGGATCCACCACAGCTTGCTACAGGCCAAAGTGGTTGGGATTCCAGTGATGGTGTGAGGAACGGAGTCTAGAGCCCCTATCTTGTTCGTTGGGCTCTATTCTGTCCTACTTACAGTTATTGGTGGACAGGGGGCTTGCTCATTCCACAGTTAACACTAGAACCGCCAGAGATTTGTTATACCTAAAACTGCCACCGGGGTCAAATTGACCCAGCATTAGAAAAAAGTATTGCTTTAAAAAGAAACATGGTCCTGTGGTATTGGTATTTTGACAAGCAATTTTGTTAAATTGTTTCGTTTATTAACGGTACAACATAGCGTTTCGTGAGGCGGTTGTCGTTGTTGGGTGAAAAGCAGTTTGCTGCTGAGTGCAGCACGAGCAGTCTCCCGTGAGCGGGAGCGCGCTCCTTCACTACAGACTGTCGCTATCAATCAATCTATCTATCTATCTCTCTCTCTCTCAATCTATCTCTCAATCTATAAGGAACCGCAGTAGACAAAAGGCGTTGCTATAGCAACACGTCATGTTTGTTTTCACGCAAAATCAATAGCGCGAAAAGGGGTGGGGTCAATATGACCCACTTGGCGGAAATAGGTATAAATGGCAATTTTTTTGCCGATTTCTTCAATCTGACTTCATATTGACAATTTTTAACAACATAGGGTGCTACATAACACACTTTCAGGAAAAGTCACGGACTGGGAGACTTTAATATGTTATTGAAAAAAAGTTACCTACAATAAAAAACAGCTCTGGGTCAAATTGACCCGATTGGCGGTTCTAGTGTTAAAGTGTATGCAGGAGCCATTTCATCCTGTCATGAGGGATTTGGCGGCAGCTCAGCCTTCAGTCAGCCGCTTATGTCGCGGTTTTTGCAGGGGGTCAGTAGGTAGCGTCCAGTGGTGCAAGCCTCCTCCCCGCAGTGGGACCTGCAGTTGGTGCTCGAGGCTCTGGTCACAGAACCATTTGAGCCTCTGGCGCTCTCCTCCCTGAAAGCACTGTCATGAAAGACAGCGTTGCTGCTTGCCTTAACTTCAGCCAAGAGAGTGTCTGAGCTGACCGCGCTATCGGTGCACCCAAGTTGCTTGTTAATCCGGGGTGACCGTAGCGGGGCGACACTCAGGCCGAACCCCTCCTTTATTCCTAAAAGCCTAAGGAGTTTGTTCAGGTCAAGAGCTATTCAGTTAGGTGGCTTTAATCTTCCACCCCATTTTGGGGGGGTACTGACCCCCCCCTCCCCTGGACATAATGCACTTGTGTTTTTCCCATGCTCCTTGGGGACCCGGGGAACATGGTGCGCAGTAAGTCCCAGGCGGGGCTGGAAGACTCTCCTCGCCTGCCTATGGGCAGGGGGGGAGAGCCTTCCTCACTATCTTTTTTTCACGCACACTCTTCACGAGGTAAGCGTGTCTGAGTGTGCTCTACCAGCCAAGTGATCTGCGGCCCCGTCTTCTCCACGGTCACAACTGGAGGAGAGGGAGTGGCGGCGCAGTAGCTGTTAACCAAAAGCCGGTCAGGGGCAGTGTGGGGGGGCCGATGTTGTTGAATGGCAGCGCGTTTATGCATCAGGGCTCCGCCCACTGTACCCATAGAGTCCAGTAGAGGGCGGAGCCTGTGTGAGATATAACGAGGGGTTACGTATTGTAACCCTAGTTATATAAGCAAAGGAGGAGCCCTCTACTCTGGGCACTGTCTGTCCTATACCGCTCGCTGAAGAGGGTGTGGGATGACGGTCAGGAGGCGAAGCCGCCTTTTATACGATGTGATTGCACGCGCTTTCAGGTAGGCCCGCCCCGGGGGCCAGCTACGTTTATAGAAGTCTCAGTAGGTGAATGCTTGCATGGTATAGTTGAGAGGTAGTACCCATAGAGTCCAGTAGAGGGCTTATATAACTAGGGTTACAATACGTAACCCCTCGTTTCACTGACGACAGGTGGCTCTGACTTTTATGTATAGTTTTTTGTTTGATAGTTGTTTTTACTTTACACGACACTGTTCAACACTTAATTCTGCTTCACTCTTTCGCTAAAGATTTTGAAGACATCTGCTTTCTTGTGACTTGTAAATACTACGCTTCCTGTGTTCTGGTACGGACTGCATCACACCGCTCCAGAGTTCACTAGCAAGCGGTCCGAGACCACCTGTTTATGTTGTTTAGTTCACTTCAGAGGTCTGAGACCACCTCTTTTAAGCGGACCAGAGTTCGGTTGTTTAGTTCACTTCAGAGGTCTCAGACTGCATTCACACCAACCAAACAAACCGCACCAAGCGGCTGAACGCACCAGGGTTTGATTAAACCGGACTAAACAAGGCTGGTATGAATGCGACCTAATTTCATTATTGGTATTTTCATTTTTTTTCTTCTTTTGTTACAGCTGTCTTGAGGATTCAAGCCTTACACAGATATAAATGATCCAGAAACCCATTGACTTGTATACCTATCCTCATTAAAGTAACACATAACTTGTTCTCTGATGTTCAGGCAGTTGGTTTGGGTCGTCTGAAGCCCAACACTCTGGTAATGGGTTTCAAAAACAACTGGAGTGATGGAGACATGAGAGAAGTGGAGATTTACATCAACACCATACAGTAAGGACTGAAGTGTCTTCTAAAAAGAGCTACTAACATTTATCGGAGGTACTTTATTTGCCCAAAACACAGTTAAAGTTTGGGATTGTGCAATTTTGGGGGTTGGTGTCTGGAGACTTTTGAATACTGCCAGAGGATGTTCAGCCTGAGAAGCGCCACTGGGGGCAAGATAACCACATGTATATACTGTATCCGTGTAAATATTTACATACATACTGGTTCATTTGTGTCCTCTGTCGTGGATATTTAGTTTTTTGCGCTGCTGGGAGGCAAAGGGAGGCGCTAGTTAGCAAATTAGCATGTAATTTGTGATCCGATAAACAGCAAATTCCTCAAATGTAGTAATAGCATACTAGCAAATAGGCTTCAAGTTCACAGGTCACCAAAACAAGGAAATGTTTGATGAGTTGACTGAATTACAAAATATTTTTTTATCTTGGTAAAATGCATTGATTTATCAAACAGTATCCCTTGAAAGACAGTAAAGTTGTATTATGTGTTCTATGATGCAGCGATGCCTTTGACCTGCAGTTCGGAGTGGCGATCCTTCGGCTACAGGACGGACTGGATATCTCTCACATCCCGGGACAAGGTACATCCTATCTTTTTCATTTGGGGTCATTTTAGTGGTCTTTTTTATAACTTTATTGTAACTCAGTGTATGTTTAATGTATCTTGTATTGCTCTGTAAAGCACTTTGGGCTGCATCTTGCATGAAAGGTGCTATATAAATACAGTTTATTATTATTATCCATCTGTATATATGCCTTAACTATCTATACTGCATGTCCTCTATCTCCCTGTTTGTCCCTGTAGATGAGCTGGTGTCGTCCCATGAGAAGCCACCTTTTGAAAGTAAGGAGATGGTGGTTACCGTCAGTCTCTCTAAAGACCCAGAATCTGACTATCCTTCAAAAATCACCAGCAACCAGAGCAGCCCACTCATCACGATAGGTACCCCTGAACACTTATTTACTGTCTGGCTTTCACATCCTGTTTTTATTGATAATGGAACAGTTTTATTCCGTCTATCTTTAGCTTCCATTTACCAGATTGGTCCATCACATTATTCTCTTTGAACAATCTCAGTTGGACAGACTTTCATCTAATCACTTCTGTCAAAGTATTTCTTTAACCTCACCTGTGTTGATTAATTTCCTGTGTTGTCACCTGCTACAGATTCCAAGTCTCCTCTGAGCCTGACTGACCAGCGTCTGCTGGAGAACAGCCAGCAGTTTAAGAAGAAGCAGGGCAAAGGAACCATAGATGTTTGGTGGTTGTTTGATGATGGAGGTCAGTTTGTAATGTCTAATACAAGGAAGAAGGCTTACTATACATATACACGAACAGATTCCTCTCAGGGGTGCCCACACTTTTTTGGCTGGTGAGCTACTTTTGAAATGACCAGCTCACCGAGGTCTACCAACCAAAAATAAAATCCCAAATTGCAAGGGTTGCTGAATAACACGTTTTATTTATACATGGGATAACTACAATAGGGCTGCAACAAACGACTCATTTGATAATCGATTAATCTATCGATTAATGAAACGATTAATCGACTATTCGGACTATTACTACTAAGACAATAAAGATGAATACTTGATTCAAAAATACATATATTATTAAATTAACTTAACAAATTGTGAACAAAATTAACATTGATTTTTATTTAAATTAAATAAATAATATTTCACATCAAAAGAAACAATGTTTTAACAAATCGTATTCAATAATGTGATGACAGAACTGTAAACAGAATAGCTGAAACTTTAACAAAATAAATAACTCAGTTACCTCTAATCATTAACCCATGTTTGCACAGCCGTGGGAAGTAGGGGTGCTGGGGGTGCTGCAGCACCCCCTGTTGGCGAGTGGTGTACATTTGAAAAATTGTGACCACCCTAAATAAAATGATTAAACTACATAAAATAGTTATGATTTTACTTAAAATAAAATTAGCTGTATACAGTAATAGTCATAGTATATATTTGTATCAGTCAGGTGGCTTGAATTTATTTTCCAAATAAATAAAATCCGAGTCATCTAGGTCGTAGGTCGTGGGAGAATGACGTAATTGACGCAACACACACACTGCAGAGTGACAACTTTCTAGAATGGCACAAAAAAGGATTTTGGATTTTCTTCTCCAACAAACAACCCAATAAAAAGAGTGGACCACCAGCTACTCCTCAGCCCACCACCTCTACAACTAGAGTAATATGACACAGAAGAGACTGACACATCTGACTTTGATGCATGTCCACAGTAACATTTTGGACAATGTGGATGTATCTGCTCTAATGAGGGTCTTCATTAGTGCCACCCCATTCTACATTTGGAGTTTTGTGAAGCCCCAACACAAGGTAAAACAATATTTTTCCTTTAATGCTGCTGCCGCTGTGCAGTGTTTTGCCTTGTCAATCAGTTAAAATTGAATTCATAGTTTTATTAATATTGTAAATAATATTTTCTGACTATTTGTAATGTTATGTAGGTTTGTAAGACCCATAGTTAGCATGTGGGCATGTGTAGCTGTTGCTAAGTGATGTAGGTCTATAATCAGGGGTGCACATAACTTTTTTGCCCTGGTTCTCAAAGGAGCACCTGGAGATGTTGCTTGGTGCTCATCCTTAAAATGAAATAAACCGTAACTTTTGAGGGGGTCTTGACTTTATTTGCCAGACACACGGCACTGAACACACAGAGGTGCACACAGAACACACATGCAGAGGTGAACACAGAACACACATGCAGAGGTGAACACAGAACACACATGCAGAGGTGAACACAAGACAACATTAGCACGACCAGTAATCCTACAAGCTGTTATCACTACTCCTGACTGTTCTCCTTACTGTCTTGCTCTCTGTCAGACATGGTAGCTGATGATGTAGGCCTACTACTTTCTCTCTGGTTGAGTCTGCGATTAGCTGCTTGCATCCACAAGTCAACAGCTGGTTTTGGGTCGAAAGTCTCTGTTGTCATCTTAGACAAGTGGATGTAATCAAATAAGTATGTGAACATAACCAATAACCTACCATAGCCAATAACAAATGAATGTAACTTATTTTATTTGTGTTGTTCATTCATATCTTATTTTACCTTAACATTTATTTATTTATGCATTTTTTTTTATCTCTCCAGTTTTAAAGGATATTTTTGGTTACTGTCCTATTGGAATGATTTCAAACCTGTTTATCCCAATAATTATAAAGGAGTGCCTTGGAAATATGTGTTTACATCAATTGCGACCAAACCGTTTGAACTTGGACTAAGAGTCCTTTACCTCACTGAGCTGTAGTTATCAGTCTGACTGGAGAGGACTCTCCCTCCACATTATTGTAGAAACATCTTCTTCTTATATCCGTTAGAGCAGCTAGCACGACACCAGATTCTAATAACAACAGCGCTGGTACCGGTGCACCCTCTCTCTCTCCCTCGCTCACTCGCATTTTGGCTGTGAGCTGCGGGTGCCAGATAAGCCAACATCCCCCATTTTCATCACTTACAGCGCCCATCGTACAGGGCAAATGAAAGGTGTAACCGGGGTGAAAAGGGTGTTACATTTACTTAATTATGAATATTGTTACATCAAGGCCAAAAATTAGGATGAGCCCCAACGGTCAAAATGTTTTTTTCCCTCCCAGAACTGCCAGAGCAGCACCTCCCCAGATCTGGCGCCCTAGGCGAACATCTAGCCGGCCCTGAGTTCATATCATGGTTCATATGCAACTCGCAAATATCTTTCTCTCTTCTCTCATCTCTCCTCTCTCCTCTATGTTCTCTTCTCCCTTCTCTCTCTCCCTCTCTCCCTCTCTCAATGTTGGTAGGCAAATGCGCTTTGTTTCAATGACCCGGTGCTCTTTTTTTTGGCGGAGGTGCGCATGCGCACCTGCGCACCAGTTATGTGCAGCCCTGTCTATAATGGTTTATTAAGCCTAACAGTTAAGGCGAGACACCCCAGGTGAATAGGGTAATTTTTTTTAACTTAAAGATATCAGCTAGAAATGTCTCCAGTTAATTACCTACAATAAGGCAATTGTTTCTTGTATTACAAGTTTTCTGAATATGCAAATGAGCCATTATCTCATTAAATTTGCACATATTTTAACAAATTTCAGGAACCGAAATCTGAACTTTGGATAAAGCCAGGTTCAAAATTCTCGTTTCATTTTGTAGTCATATTAGCATCTAAGGCTTTTACAGAAGGGATTTTGGATATCTCTTTTTATCACTCCATAAATCAGAAAATATCAATTTTCGCCATGTTTCTAGGTATAAGATATTATATAACTCAGGCTATGAATGACATATGAACAAACCCTTCTGTAAAAGCCTTCATAATATTGATAGGAATACAACTGGAAGGTGTATCTACGTGCTACTGAAGTTGAAATGTCGAACTCAGAGTAGGAGAAAAAACTCATTTTGAGAAAACGACCTTTAAAGATTGCAGTGAGGCGCTAGCTAAACCCTCCTGTTCTTTGAATGACAGCTTGCGGCTCGACGCACTCCGTGAAGGTATTTCATGTTTGGGGTCATTTGTTTTTTGTATAATCTTGCTTCGTGCAAGTGACAATTGTTGTTGTCTTCTCTGTGAACATTTTTGCCGTTCTTATTCCATTTTGAGATTTCAATTTCTAGCGGAAAGCTAACCAGGAAGTGTTTTAGCACACCACGTGACGCTTCTGAACGAATCACGTTGTCAGAAATTGACACCAGCCAATGAGATTTCGTTTATTGGTTTAAGACCCTTTTGTACTTTCACGATTGCTTGCTGATACAAAGGAAATGACCATATTTGGATCTAATGAGATTGTGCAGGAGAGACGGAGCTTTACAACGATATCTCTGTTGACATGGTGCACACAGCGGTCGCGGTACTTTATGTTACGTTAGAATGCTAACTTTTGGTGAATTTAGGAGAAATATACAGACGCAAATAGACAAACTATAGTAAAATAAACACATAAATGTGTATTTTGTACGTTTTCCTTCCAAAAGCCTGAAAGAAAACATGTAATGGAATCAAAATAGCACAACATCTCAAAATTGACCAGTGCATGAAAAACGATGTTTTTGCCTGCGGTGTCTCGCCTTTAACAAACAATTTATGCGGCTCGTATCGCTGACAGCCGGGCCCGGCCCGGCCTTTTTTTCTTTCTTTTTTTAAGCGGCCTCTTCCCCACTTTTGGCAGCACCCCCTGAGTAAAATGACTTCCCGCGGCTATGCATGTTTGCATAATGTAGTTAACTCCGTGTGTTGCTGCTAGCATACATAACACCTGACGTGGAAAAGTTACTCGTGGATGGGGCTACAGAGCTACTAGAAAGACAGTCGAACCCGGTGCATTCCTCCGTCTGAATGTGAATGTGAATGTGAATGAACTTTAGACAAATTGCTCGTGTTACCGCCCTTACATGCTAAACACTCTTGGCAAAGAGCATGTCCACCTCAAGACGGGTAACATTTAACCACACCTTGGAGCGTTTCTCTCCGCCATCCCCGCCGTGTGTTGCTGCATGTAGCAGCTGCGTGTGTGTAAACTGCCCCGCCCCCTCGCACACAGACAGGGGAGAGAGATCTCGTCTCGATTGGAAAGGTCGAAAAAACACCGACCATAGACGCATTTTTTTTGTCTTGTTGCATGTTAGAAACGAGTTGGCGACACTAAGACTGCGAGATAATGTTTTTGTAGTAACAATACATGACCTTTCTCTTTCTCAACTCGCTACTCGGAGGGAAGTCGCTGTCATATGCCTTGTACACTCCGATAATGCCTCTCCACGTTACCTTTCTTTGGCAGAGCGACGCTTGCTTTACAAATAAGGCAAATAACCTTTGAATGTGACATCACAACAAAATATTCTTCCTCCCATTCAGGATGGAAGTGGTATGTCTTTAGCTTTTTGCTTGGTCCCGCACTCATTTTGTTGTTTGTCTCTTGTTTGTCTCTTTAACTTAATTTGAGTTTTCCTGGCACTTGACTGATTTTGTATCGCTTTGCATTCTGGGTTAACAGACTGGAAAGCGATAGGTCGCTTTTTTTGTCAATCAAGTAAACTCCTGAATTAAGTGGCAGGGAGGCCAAGGGAGGAGGGATCAAAACCTGTTTTGTCTATTTTAACGGGGCTGGATTTTTTTTTGTATGAATGACTCGCGATCTACCAGCATTGCCCCTACTGGGCACCTCTGCGAGTCTAAACCAAGGGTGTCCAAACTTATTTCACAGAGGGCCACATACAGAAAAATATTCGAAGTGCTGGGCCACTCACTAGAGGTGAGGTATATTGCCTCATAAGTTAAGTTATAAGTCAGCAAAATCAATCAAATGGTAAATATAAAATAGGTAAATTATTCTTGATAATTGCATATGCTTTAAGAAAAAATAAACAGCCTACATCACAGCTCTCCAGAGGGTTTCATTTATTTTGTTAGCAGCTCATCCCTTAAAACAGAAGCCTCAGATTGAATAATAAGGAGAAATATGAAGGGGTGTATTTCAAGGTTGTTATGTAAATAAGTTGTTGGGCTTTTTTTTATCAACTTAGATTTGTTAGAACATCATTTTCCACTTTCATTGACTAAAAGTGGGCTTATTAACACATGAACACTACTGAGTAATATGTTTACAGATGTATTTAAGAAGTACAATACAAGACATGCTGAAGTTTCATTTGTGGGCCGGACAACATTATACTTTTAGAATTTGCTGAGGGCCGATTCAAAATGGCTCGCGGGCCGCATTTGGCCCCCGGGCCGTAGTTTGGACACCCCTGCTCTAAACCAACTTTAAGCATATCTGACAGCATATCAAGCTTTAAAGGTCCCATGTCATGGCCATTTCTACTGATCATAATTCCATTGTTGAGGTCTACTAGAATATTATTTACATTGTTCAATGTTCCAAACTCACATTGGTTTCTCATACAGCATCTCTGTATAGTATGTGTATTCACTCTCTGTCCTAAACGGCCTGTTGGAGCTCCTGCCCCCCCCTCCCTGTGAGCCCACTGTGCTCTGATTGATCAGCTCGCCCACTCTGTTCTGATGAGTCCACCACCGTTACAGCGGAACATCAGTGATTATGTGTTACAATGGCTCTTTTTGTGTCACATAGAGTCCAGTAGAGAGCGGAGCCTGTGTGAAATATAAGAGAAGGATTCCAACTACGCATTAACTTGTATTGAATGTGTTTGTGTTTCAGGTCTGACTCTGCTGATTCCCTTCCTGCTGACCAATAGGAACAAGTGGGGTGACTGCAGGATCCGCGTCTTCATCGGCGGGAAAATCAACCGCATCGACCACGACCGCAGAGCGTGAGTCATAGCAGCTTTCTTTTTTGTACACTTCATACTGTACACTCACTACATTCTGTCTGAAGAAGATTGTGTGTGTGTGTGTCCCGTCAGCATGGCCACGCTGCTCAGCAGGTTCAGGATCGACTTCTCTGACATCCATGTCCTCGGAGACATCAACACCAAGCCCAAAAAACACAGGTATGAACACTGTTCGGAGTTTGATGCATTATAATGTAAAGGGTCTAAGACTATATCTTTAGCACAAGGTCATCAAATGAAGATATTTAAAGGGCCGCAGGTAACTAGAGATGCTGGTTTACCACTTTTTACACTAAACAAAAGTATGTTCTAGTTCTGTGCTGGTGATAGTTTGGTTCGGATGTACAGTAGATTGCAAGTTGAACCAACTGTAGGAGCAATGTTTTTTTTTAAGAATCTGGTAGCTTCATGGTAATAAAGTGACGTGTCTGTTGTGCAGTAAGCTGAGCTTTAAGGAGCTGATTGAGCCGTACAGGCTGAAGGAAGACGATATGGAGCAGGAAGCTGCAGAGAGGCAGAAGGCCCTGGAGCCCTGGAGGATCACTGACAACGAACTGGAGCTCTACAGGGCAAAGGTCCCCCCCCACACACTGCACACACATCCACTCTGACCAATCAATATGCTGCTGAAGTTCACTGTGAGTGACAGCTGTTTTAACGTCAACGTGATGATTTGTGACTTTCAGAGCAACCGCCAGATCCGACTGAACGAGCTGCTGAAGGAACACTCCAGCATGGCAAAGCTCATCGTCATGTAAGAGCTTCTTCATTATCAATGTTACACTTTAACTTCATGTTTGGTTTTACTCACTTATTACTATATAACTTGAGTTAAAGACGAACGTGGATCATATTGGTCACATGACACCAGTGGAGGAGGAAGTATTCAGATCCTTTACTGTTGTGAAAGTGCTAAAACACCAATATAAGTCTTCCATTGAAAAAAGTAAACAAAACATATGTTAGTATAATCAGGGTTATGTAGTAACAGAATACAAATTATAATAATGTTCCCTGTGACATTATTATAACTGAAACACTATACTTATTATATCATTAGACTATTATTACTCATGCATTCATTTTAAAGCAGGATTTGACAGTTGTAGTTGATGACGTTGAGCTTATAACTAATGATTATTTTCGCTGTGATTTTCTCTGCTGTTTTATCTCTCCATTATTGGATATTGTGTTTAGTAAAAAATAGTCAAATAAGTAAGAAATGCTGTTGAAATTACCCACTTGGATAAACTGTTGGGTAGTTTAATATGTAGGCAAACCAAAAAAAAACTCAAATTTGTTCTTAAGGGAACGTTCTTCCCACCACTGAAGGACACATAACTGGTTTGAAATAGTATTTGTACATTCACGTTGCTAAAAACCCAGATAAATAATAATATTTGTTTTCTGTATTTACATTTTTTTACATTCTCAGGAGCATGCCTCTGGCCAGGAAGGGCACGGTGTCGAGCGCCCTCTACATGTGCTGGCTGGAAACTCTGTCTAAAGAACTACCGCCTCTGCTGCTGGTCCGAGGAAACCACCAGAGTGTCCTCACATTCTACTCTTAGCGAACACACTGCACGCATGCACGCACACACACACACACACACACACACACACACACACACACACACACACACACACACACACACACACACACACACACACACACACACACACACACACACATACAGGGTCCACACACTGACATGGTGTGGGTTACAGTTACACCGCCTACAGCTGCACAACAACAGAGATATTATGATGCTTAAAGTTTTGTGCCACACTTCTGAAACACTGCTGCTGTGAAAAAAGTCTAATGTTTTTCCATTTGTCTTCAGTTCAGTACATGTCTGTCTCATTAACAAATGTACTGACCAAATCATTATCTTTTATGTGCAGCCCAATAACTGGCTGTATATTCTGTGGCTTCTGTACGGTGGCTGACAAGTGCAAAAGCGCAACAATAGCCAAAAACACCTACATTTGGAGAAATGCGCTGCAGTTTCAAACACGATGCAAATATAAAAACAGAAATGTGCCACGTTTTCAAAACGAAAAGAAGTTCAAAACACAACAGAAACGGGGACGCTAAAAAGTGATGCACACAGCTGGGACCGGAGGGCTTGTTAATGTTAGGGATGGTACATTTGGCCAACTGTCACTGTTGGCACAGTCTGTTTCATAATTGTAAATGTTTTGTCAGTATATTTGAAATGATTAGGTTAGCTACGTTAGCTAGCTAGCTTACAGCAGATCTGCATATATATTGGAAGGAATCATGCGATGAAATTGTTCAAATAAGCCAAAAAACAACAACATTTTAGCAATTTTATAATCCCTGGACGTCAACCAGCGCTCCGGTCCCAGCTTTGTGCCTCACTTTTTAGTGTCCTCATTTCACATTGATTTTGAGCACATTTCTCCTGAAGGAAATGTTTTTAGGCGTTGTAGGGCATTTGCACTTGGCGGCCACCGTACTTCTGTGAATTTTTATTTAAACTGCAGTGCAAATTAACTTATTTTATTGTTTATTTATATTTATTAAGTCATGTTTCAGAATGTTTCAGAATGTTTGCTGGTATTCAGATGGCCTGTGTCTTGAAATTGTATTTTCACAGGGTTTCCAGTAGCAAGACACTGTATTTGAGGTAACATTATTTTGTACACTGTTTGATTAAAATATTTACTAAACCACATGTTTCTGTCACGTTTGTTTCAAGTCAGCATTTTGGGATTTGTTGTCGGTCATTTCAGCTCTTCTAGACTACAGGATGTTATAAAAGAAACTGTTATAAAATAAGTGTGAGATATTAAAGTGTTACTTTGTGCAGGGTTGAAAAAGTACATTTACTCAAGAGCTGTACTTTTTTGAGGTAATATTATTTTTTCTATTTTGTGCTTTTTTTATTTGAAACATACTTGTAGAGGAAACTTCTGTGTAGCTATGCTGTGGGAGTCACCGACTCAGAAAGGAGACACGGGAAGAGCAGTAGCTTTGATGTCAAACACATGATGGTTTATTTGGAGTTAACGGCCGGAGGATTCACATCACAAGTCCAAGAGTCAGAGGTTCTGACTTTACGGTAGAGTTGCCACGTCAATTCTGAAGAACTCTACCCCAGACCCATGTATTTAGCTAGTTCAGAGAGCATCATCAACATGCTGCATAACAAGATAGAATGATAACACCTCTATCAGCTGACGCCAACAGGCAGGAACAGGGAGACAAAACACTGAGAGCACAGCAGCCAAGGTTACAGGTGCCTGTGCTCAGTCAGGACAGTTTGAACTGATACACTGGGTCAAAGTTATGGGCCTTGGAAAATATTCCACAACAATACTGACAAAATAATTACAATTATGAAATAGACTAACTCTGCCAACAGAGACGGTTGGCAAACTTTTTTATCCCAGAACGCCAACCAGCGCTCCTGTCCCAGCTGTGTGCATACATTTTTAGTGTCCCTGTTTCCGTTGTGTTTTGAACTTCTTGCAGCGTTTTGTGTTTGCAAAACATGTTTCGTCAAGTTGGTGAAGGTTTTCTAAATGCTGCGTATAGTTGTCAAATTAATGTACTCATATACATTTGCATGTGTTTTGCAACAACTGGTAACTACTGTTAGAAATTAAAATCAATGTTTTGATAGCATAATGTACCTTAAACATACCTTCAGTTTAAATGCTGTTTTATACTGAAAAACCAGAAGTTCTTGTGCACAACCAGTTGTTAGCTTTATTCTGAAAATCCGTCATCTCCGGTTAGCATTTAGCATGACGCTAATATACAATTTACTATAGAGGTGAATTTAGCAGCGAGATGATATGATGTTGCACACCGAAACCTACTGTTCTATTTCGTATATGGCTTCGCCCTCTAAGGCTATCGCTATTGGGTTTACCCTTCTGCGCCCCCGCGCAGTACTGAAAACACTTGTAGTCCACGCCCACCCGCTAGGTGGGCCCCACCCGCTAGGTGGGCCCCACCCTCGGGCCTCCTTCCGGTATAAATAGGGAGGTTGCCCGGCGATCTGCTCCCTCTTTTCTTCAGCAACCAGCAGTTTACTGAAGCACGAGAAAAGCAACATCATGAGCAATAAAGAGTGTGTCCGTATGTGCCCTTCGTGCAATACGGGCTACATTATGAGCTACGATTTGCATCCGATATGTGCAGCCTGTCTGGGGCCAGAGCACGCGGACGCGGCTCTCAGCCAGCAGGTCGCATGTCCTCACTATGTGCGTCTTCCTTCATCCGACAGGAAGCGAAGGGCGGACGCTCTAGCTGCTGCGGGTGAGGAAGACGTCTGGGGTGGGCAGGAGCCCATCCAGAACACACCACCGTCGCTGTGCGCAGCCGTGGCGGTGTCCCAGGCGAGGACAGCCAGCGGTGAAGCAGCAGTGACACCAGCGGCAGCAGCAGCAGCCAACCCGGCCACAGCGGCAGACGGACAGACACCAGCAGCAACAGTAGCCGAGGCGTCAGAATCATCCGTCAGCGGCGGCCGGGGCACCGGGGGAGTGTGAGGAAAATAAAAGAAGATTATTTCCCAACATGTTGGCTGAGTCATCAGTTTCAAATGTGTTTCACATATCTCCCACTGTGGCCGGTGAGCCAGCTGCCATGACCTATCGGTTAATAGCCAGCCGGTTTCGGTACAAAAGCCTGCGCTATTTAATCTATCGATTAATAAGCTGCGGAGCACAGTAATTACACCAGCTGCCTTCAATCTGGTGATTAGTAGGCAGCAGGGTTCGCTGCAGGGATCTGATGGTTATGACTCTTCGGTTATTAAACCACAGACCTCGCGGCATTCTTCTGTCCGAGATACGCCACCTATACACGGTCATAATAAGCCCAGGAGCGCAGTGTTAACGCCTCATGTGGATATTACTGCACACACCTCCACCCATCCTCTGAGCGTGTACACGCCTCATGATGCGAGGCGGAGTGATACGCAGCGTGTGGAGGCCTCCGCACAGCCCTTTCGCTCTAGGCCCACCTTGGGTTGCCTCACGGGCAGCGGCGGTGAGGGCTCTGGCGTGACTAGTCGTCATGACAACCACAACACATCTCGAGCATGCGCGCCCGCTGTCAGAGTGTTTCTCGGCGTGGCAGCGCATGTGTTTGATGGACAGATGGATGAACAGGCTGATCAGCAGAGGGTACACCCTGCAGTTCGCCTCCCCCCCCCCCACAGTTCAACGGGATACAGGTGACATGCCTAACATCCCGTGAACAGTGTCTTGCGCTCCAAGCAGAGCTACGGGAACTCCTGTTGAAAGAGGCTATTTCCAGGGTTCCCCAGGAGGAAGAAAATCAGGGGTATTACTCCCGCTATTTTCTTATCCCGAAAAAGACAGGGGGAATGAGACCCATCCTCGACCTGTTTCACATGCTGACGGTCAAAAAGGTGCTAGAGTGTGTTCACCAGGGAGATTGGTTCACCTCTATAGACCTAAAGGATGCATACTTCCATGTACCCATCATTCCGCAACACAGGAAATTCCTGCGGTTTTCATTCCAGGGAATAGCGTACCAGTACAACCGTCTGCCGTTCGGCTATTCCCTGGCTCCTCGTACTTTTTCAAAGTGTGTAGAGACGGCGTTGCAGCCGCTACACAGAGGAGGGATGAGAGTACTATTTTTACCTGGACGACCTGCTGCTGCATGGCTCGCTCCAGGGAGGAAGCGGCTTTACAGACGGTACAACTCATATCGTATCTGTCAAAGCTGGGTTTCATGATAAATTGGGAAAAGAGCTGTCCCATTCCAGCCCAGAGTATTGTTTACCTGGGTGGAATTGAACTCAGCCCGCATGAGAACACGACTCTCACGGCAGAGAGTGGAGTGGACACGCTGACAGCTCTCCTTCGACGTGTCACACCCCGCAGCGTGGTGACGAAAAAGCCCCCCACAGTTCAATGGGATACAGGAAACACTCCTGTCCTCCCAGAAGCGATGACTTGTGCTCCAAATCCGAGCTGCTGGAACTCCTGTTGAAAGAGGATATTTCCAGGTTTCCTCAAAGGGAGGAAAATCAGGGGTTTTCACTCCCGTTATTTTTCTAATCCCGAAAAAGACTGGGGCAATGAGACAGGGGCTGGAATGTGTTCACCAGGACGACTGGTTCACTTCCACCTGAAGGATGCATACTTCCACGTACCCATCATCCCGAAACACAGGAAATTCCTGCGGTTTCTCATTTCAGGGAATATCAGACCAGACAATCGTCTGCCGTTTGGATATTTCCTGGCTCCTCCCATTTTTGTGTAGAGAAGGCTGGAGCCGCTACACAGAGGAGGGATAAGAGGGTGGTTTCCTTTGGACGACCTGCTTTGCTGGCTCGCTCCAGGGAGGAAGTCGCTTTACAGACGGTACATCTTGTATCGCATCTGTCAAAGCCTGGGTTTCATAACAAGTTGGAAGGAGAGCTGTCCTCTTCCCTCTCAGACAAACGTTATCTGGAGTGGAATTAAAAACTCAGCCAGCAGCAGAGCGCTCTCTGGCAGCGAGTGAGAAACTGACAGCTCTCCTCCGGCGTGTCACAAACCACACAGCCCTCTCCGTAACGCAGCTGCTCTGCATTAGCGTCAGCTGGTCACGGGGGGGATACCCCTGGGTCTCCCCCACAGGGGGAGTCTCCAGAGGTGCTTCATTCACTGCAGAAGCCTGCTGTTTTAACCTATTGGTTTGTAAACTGCAGAGCTCGAGGCATTCCTCTGTCCCAGATATGCCTTACACACGGTCATAATAAATCCACGAGCACTGTTATAACGCCTCGTGAGGACAGCATACACACACCTCTCATCCTCTGGGCGTGTACGCGCCTCATGATGAGAGACAGAGTGGAATGCAGCGTGTGGAAACTCCCTCGCAGCTTTTTTGCTTCACGGGCAGCGGCGGCGAGGGCGTGGCACGTCACCATGACGACCATTATGGTCTTCATGGTGACGTGCCACGCCCTCGCCGCCGCTGCCCGTGAAGTGCTGGAATTGGGCCGGTACTCACCGGTACGCAGTACCGGCACTTCTGGTTCTGACCCATGGAGTACCGGCACTTCTTGCTCAGTACCGGCATGCTGGCGGTACTCCGGTACTCATGCACCGTGCCAGTACTCAACACTCTCCCGCCGTTCTTATTATACATCCATATATATATATACAGCGTATAGGTACTGTATATACTTTACAATTTACATACCTAGATGCACGTGTGTTGTGTTTATGCAGTGCAACTCCCACCCAGTGGGTGGCTATGTAGAGTGATAGAACAGAGCAGGCACGCCCCCGAGAGAAGGAAAGCAAGTCACGTCACAAATTAGCATTTCTAAAATGTTAGCGTGGATTAATAAAAGTGCAAAAAGACAGCGGTTGTCGCCGGAAGAAACTTCAAATACAGAGAATGCTGTGCCTGTGTTGGAAATTGTGTCTGATGGGGAGCTTTCTTTGGTTGATCCTCCTGCTCCAAGTTCTAGTGCATTAGCATTAGCACTAGCTCCGCCGCCTCCTCCAGAGCCTCTAACGTTAGCTGCTGCTGGCGCAACTGCCACCACCAACACCGGGCAAAGCGATGCACCTGACTGCTGGACAACGGACCAGGTGCAATATTTTTGCAAGACCAATGCATGGCTCCTTCTTAAAGATAAGAATGTACAATGTCTGTATCCTCTGATATGCATAACAAACGGATATTG